TGCCTTATTTTACGTGGCGAGACTCGGGCCATCAGGCCCGCTCTTCCGTCTGACTACGCAAATTTCGCTACGCTCCTTTCATCAACTAGCAGAGAAAGGAGGTATTTCTTGGGCAAGAAACAGGCGATTTGAATTTAGCTCAGAGGCGTCATTTAAGCTTGAGGATCTTTTACATGCAAGTAAATCTACTAATATGTGACAGCCGGCTTTAGTTCCCCTCCGAAGGAAGGCGTACGAAGGATTTTGTCGCCCTAAAAATCCACGGCTTCGATCGGGTTTGAATCCGCGAGCTTGGGTATAAAACAGTCCCATAATAGGCGTCACACCATCGCCGCCGTAGAATCTCTAGTGTATTCTCAGCATGAAAACTGTAAGACAGTCTTCACGATTCTGAGGCAACTGAGTGTATCTGCAACCAATCGGATGATGGTTGTTTGTATGGAATAGCAAATTATTTATTACTGTATTATTCTCATCACTACAAAGCTGAGTTGAGAACCCCAGCGCGGAGAGGTCCCGAGGTCGCAGTGCGCCGCATTTAATTCCATATTAATAATTAACATTGATTAATCATAGATTAAAATAATAGGCGTAATCGTTGTTCATGGATATTCTGTTTCATTATAGTTAAATTATCAGTTTATTATTAGATAAACATTTATTTTAAATTAGTTTTCAACCTGTTTTTGTTGCACTCTATCACAAAATTTGGTTTATAGGTTTTGCTTTCCTACTCTAAAATTGTTGATTCTAATTAACCGAATTTATTCAGTTTCTTGAAACTAATAGATTTATTGAAAGTGTTTTTTCTTTATATTGTATTGAAATTGTATTTTCTTTTTCTCTTATAAAAAAATGCAATTAATTGAAAGAGTTTTGACAACACTAGCAGTGACGGCTCGTGAATATTTAAAAGGAAAGTAATAAAATGCATAAGTACTTCAACTGAAACATTCTACAAATCAGATTACATGTGTCGACTTGCGCGGATAAGAGAGAAAGATCTACCAGTGCTGTTTACACCTTACTTCCATCAGTCGACATTGTAACATTACATCGACTGCCCACGTCTACCCCTTGCCTGTAAGAGTATGACTTTACACATTACATATGACGCGTTCATCGGGTTCTAAAAGCTGCCGAGAGATGTCAGTTCAAGGGAGGAGATTCTCCCTTCGTGCCATAAATCTCCATAAATATGTTTTCTGTTCCAGCTGTAGGAACGCTGAAAGAGAGGAGCGATTAGGGAGTTTTTACATGGTGAAGCAGTACAGCAATAGCCAGAAATATCGAGCTTCTGGGCATACGCAGTTGGAGTTTCACCTTTGTGCATCTGCGCATGCGCAGGTCATTGAAGATTACTGGAACGCTTCGCCATGAAAAAAACTCCCAATTAACACATGGGAGGAGGAAACGATAGAAAGATTTTGCACGCCTTAGCGGACACCAATCGACTACGAGTACAACTTGGATCTTCTGGATATGCGCAGATGCAAAAAAGTGATGCGAAACTTCAACTGCGCATGCGGGGAAGGTCGATCGTGCTTTCACTTGCTTTAACGCCTGAGGGTGCCAAAACTCCAGGTTGAGCGTTCATCCTCAGAGCGACTTCGATTGATTTCGATGGTTTTCACGTTGTTAAATGCGCGCGTAGTTTAAATCTCGTTCAAAATGGATTTCAATTAAAAAAATGGTACAGTTCCCCTCAAATAATGCGTGAAGAGTATTATTCCGAAATTCCACCCAAAAGAAAACATTTTTCCCATCAGCCTGGGACCGCCTCAGATCCCCCGGAACTTCCGTAAAAACACAAAGGCAGCCCGAAAAAGAACAGAGGGGGAGAATTACAAAAGGAGTGGAAATGGCGGTCCAATGTTTCATATGCTCTCTCGTTCACGTATGCGAGAACTGGTACTCTAAACCGCTGCCCACGAAAAATATATCCTTTTGCACAGGATGAAGAAGCATGACGTAAACCACTTTTGAGTTTGTTCGTGCGCATCTCAATCTGCGCTAAGGTACTTCGCTGTGCCAAAAGTCTCTAATATCTTGAATCTAGAACTAGAAATAGGCGACCCGATACACTTGTAGTAGGTCTTTCCTGCTGTATCTTCCCAGATACATCAGCAAAAGGGTCGTATTGTCGTCGCTGAACTCATGAAAATGCTAGCTCGCGCGAGTCACCTTTGACCTTACGTCCGAGCGGATCTTGGAGATAGAAAAAGGTTAAAAAAAGGTCCGTAATATTATCAATGCAAAATATCCATCACGATATTAATCATTTCGTATACACTTCTTTAAAATGTCAATAGTATTCACTTAATTATGTCTTATAACCATGTCCGTGGCCGAATTCCCATCAGAGTGGACATGAAGATAATGTTGCACAGTAATTTTATCATACATAAGAATTCTTTATAGAAATGCACACGGAATAGTTTTCTTTTTGAGAGTTCTGTTTGGTAATATAACTCTTAGATAAATTTTACACTGATTTATGAGAATTCAACATTTTTTCTTCAAACTTTTTTGTCGTACGGATTTTTGTTAAAATATCTTCCTCGATAAAATTTGTTTAAATATTGTTATCTGCGTTCTTGAACTAGGTGTACCGTACGGGAGAATCAACAATGGAGGCAATCCGAACAGATGTTTTTGGTATCAGCGCTCATAGATCTCCATGGGTGCGGTCCAAGTACGAAACTGTCGGTAGAGTGAGTAGCAGCATCGTGCATTGACCTCCGAATTGCTCATAGCTCTGAATTTGACATTTGAACTTTTCCGCTCCGATCGCCGAGTCCAAAGGTGACCACCAAGAGTCGGAGACTACTGATCTTGGCTCTAGGGAACCTTGATGAACCCTGACTACGCAGTAGTTCCTCACATCTGGAAAGGACGAGTTATGTTTTACGGTATTTAAAGAGTTTGCGTAATTTTGAAATTTCCAAAAGCACAATCGGCGAATTCTGAACATTTTTTACCAGACATTCTCTTCGATTTATGCCCCTAAAATGTATGTTCTCGTGGAATTAAATTTTAGAAATTTGAAACTTAAGTGATAACTATCCCAGATTTATGTTCATTTCACATAATTTGGAAGTTCTTTGACCAATGCAGTAAATACGACCACATCAACTAGAAACCTCTTACATTAGATTGTTTCAAAAAATGATAGAGAAGTGAACGATCCGACAACAGTGGCCTGTGACTTCAATATTTTTCGAGAATTGCAGTTGATCTCACGAAGGATTTATATCAGGATAAAAAATTCGACAGATGTTTCTCCTAAAATTTTCGATTGATAAGGACTTCCAGGTGCATTAAGAGCTAAGGTCGCATTAAATGCTTAGGTGGTGGTGATCTTTCCGCCAATGGATGGCGAGATAAGACAGGCTAGTGGAGTTTTCCCAAACTACTTATCTCCCACCAGCGGGGCACCGCCCCACCCGGGGCAAGCTCTAAGCTCCCGGCATGTGTGGTAGAGTAGGGCATGTAAGTGTAAGTAAGAGGGAGGATAGAACAACGAAGTGGAAGGAAAGATCGCGCGCGATCCGTAGAGCCTTTGTTAGGGAATTCTCAGGCATTCACCTAGTGTTGATCGGAGGAACCATGGAGAACTAACGATTAGAGCAGCCGGCCGCTAGAATTATCCTCCGAAAAGCAAGTGAATTTGCCCTAGCTATCCACATAGTGTCGAAAACTCTACCCTCGAACCCTCTAGGAATATGATGGTCCACTGATATGAGGGATAGGCTACACAATTTTGGGGCTTAAGAGCCCAATACAGTTGAATCCACAATGGAATACTTATAAACATGTAATGAATACAACATTAAGTTCATTGTACTACGCATTCAGAAATATTTCAAATTCAGCTCTAGTACTGCTTGTTGCGTGTAATTCGTGAAAGTCCATCCAGCCTGAGATGGGGCATAATATTCAAGGGAAACACATCCCATAGCACCCAGACTTTTAGATACAGAAAACTGTTGAACGAATAATAAGCAATCACACCCACGTGATTCTAGTAACTCTCACTTTTTTAAAACGGGAACATTTTCACCAAACACAGAAATATATGCAAAACTCGAAAAACTAGTAATCATATTCATCAGGGTTCGGTTTCAACAGCTCGCTACAAATAATTCATATGCAATATTTGGCAGATAACTTTAAACGATTAAAATCGATACACAAATTTTATGTGACAAGGAAATTATTTTCCGCTGTGACTGTTCCTACACAATTAAAACTATACCGAGCATCAAACAGCGAAATACTTGTTGTTAACCACGCTATTAAAGTATTAGTTAACATTTGGACAATAATTCTAAAAGACTTGCGTCTAAAAGGCATGCCTGTACGAAGGATGAACCTCAGCTTCTGGGTCAATGACTTCCATCTTAGTCTGGGTTTTTCTCCATCCCTCGGGCAAAGGCTGAGATGGCCATTAATTTTGTTTGTGGGTGAAAATGTAAATTTACTCTCTGTGCAAGTTTTCTTGAGCGCTGTACGGAAAGTAGTTATTCAAAAAACCGTTCTTTGGCTTCTCGCCGCAGTAAGTGAATTCCGTCAGGAAGGGTATGGGTATAAGGGTTTAGAGTCCAAAATTCTACTTATTTTTTCCTACACAAATTCATATTACGTGGGAGCAAATATTTTCATACCAATTCTTTCCAAAAACGCTCGATGCTACCTGAATTCATAATAGTACGTATACGGGTTAGGAAACAAAATCCCGGAGTTCAAGAAACTGAACAGATTGCAATTCTCCCCACAGTACGTCACACTATTTTTGACGTTAAACATTAATAAACAAATAATATAATTTCTATTAAAAACGACATCTGATAAAATTCGTGGCGACGACAGGCATTCATTTCCGTGTTCCCAGTCCTTAAGTTCAATAGAAATAGGATTGCGGAGTTTCAAAGAAAAGGAAAATGCATGAATAATGTATATATTCTAATTTAATCATACATGGAGCTTTCAAGACGTACCTGTGGTATACTAACAGTGTATACACGATCCCTCAATTTTTCTCTAACAAAAAGACGTAAAATCTTGAACGGAGCTTTAAACCAAAGCGGCGCAGTGACAATGAGCACCTTTTTCAGTTTAGCTGGGTACCCACCCTGAAACACACAAACATCAAATTATCAACAACACTGTTAAATACCAGGACATAACATTCAAAAAGGTTGGCACAAAATATTAAGATAAATCAAGTGATAATGAACTAAAAAGTGTACATTACGTATCACTAGCAACAACAAACTTTTGGAAAGTAAATAAAAGACAGCGTAGAATATGTAATGAAGATTTGAAGACACATTGAACTATTATTTCACACGAAATGATATCAGAGGCAGCATAAGCAAAATGTGCTGTTTTCACGGAGTTTATAATTAAGCAGGAGATTTTTAAAATTAATTTAAAGTTATTGATATATCTTGCAAATTAAGGATTTTAAGTTATTTTTTCTAGAATATTTATTTCTTTTACATACCAAATTCTGATTAGCACCACAGTTAATCAAATGATAATTTTATTTTTGCTACTACCTTTTGTCTCTTAGGGTTTTTTCTTTTTTTCCAGAAAAGAAAAGTGCAGAAACTTCGAAGAAGAGAAGCAAATAAATTTATGATCAGAGCACTGATGGTAAATGAAATTCGAAAATACACCCATCAAAAAACCCTGCGGCCATAACTCTACCGACCCATTGCACACCGTCAGCCAAGCCAATTCCTATTCCTATTCTTTTTCAGGTGGTGGCTCAGCGACGGAGACAACACGGCTCGAAAGGATCAGGCTCCCGTTGCGAAGTCGGGGAGCGCCTCCAAATATCTGCGCTATTGACGGACAGGCGAAGGCTCTAGACGTCCGACGGAAGTGAGATCTTCCTCCGTTGGACGGTGAGATCCGGCGCCGACCTACCCATCGTCCAACACCCCATTACTTGCACAGGGCTCGAATCCACAACGGTAGGCTCTGCATTTTAAATCAATGCTCGAATTTCGAGTGTCACAGAGTCCTTGCACAAGTGGGTCTCAGGAATGAAAAGGTCTCTCGGGAATACCGTGACAGACGCCGGCAAGTTCAAATTCAATTCAATTCAATTAAGCCTTATTTTACTTTGCGATACTCAGGCCATCAGACTGCTCTTCCGCCTGACCACGCCAATTTCGCTACGCTCATCACCGCATCGCTTTCATCACCTAGCAGAGAACGAAGGTATCACTAAGGCGACATAACAGGCGATTTGAATTGAGCTTAGAGGCTTCTTTTAGGCTTACGGCTCTTTTACATGCAATAAATCTGCAACACCCGCTTCTGCCGAAACCATGGCCAAGTTATGTTAGAGTCGAGCCGGCCTCTCCACCGTGTGTATAATATTCCTGTGGTTGACCAAAAGTGCGAGTATGAAGATTTGACGGTCGTGGGGGCATGTACAAACGCGTCGGCAACTAATCTGGTCAACTGACCTTCAGCAACATCGCGACCAATGCTGCAACCTTTTAAGGCATTTTCGGCCAATGGCCTCACCGCTTGGGTCTCACGCTTCAAGTGAAGGCGAAGTTGGTCAAGTACGTGATTGCGAGAGATAAGTTGTTCATTCCCCACGAGATGTCGCTGAAGTTTAGTTTAGCCGATTAGCTCCCGACATTTTTCGTACATAACCCCACCATGCTAAAAAACTACTTTTGACTGAACTGATTGTAAACGTATTGTCATACACAATGTAATGAAAATAAGTAAAATAGAAATTATGTATAGGTGGCACATAATTTGTTTTGCAACACAATTACGTATACGAATGGGATATAACACCATTAGTTTCCATAGCAAAGTATCGTATTTTCGTCAGCAGCCCCGTCCTCAGCCATACAGGGAATAGCTACGCGCACGTGTGCGCGAGAGATCCTATACTCCAATCAAATAGCTCCAAAGCTCGCCTTCGATTTTTCGCCTTGGGGTCAATCCATTTTAAGTGGTCCAGAATTTAATAAATTGGTCGCACGACCATCTCGAAAAAATGCATACTTTGTACATAAATTCCCTTTTGTTTTGGCTGTTCAAAAACATTTAATTTTATTTATAAAATTTGATTTAGAAAAGGCGGCCATTTTTGTTTTTCGCCGTGCTCAATTTTTTGCGTTTGTAGACCTTTACCTTTCTCTAAATGACTCAGCGCTCGGTTGTTCTAGCATTTTGGAATAAATGACATTGGATTCACTATTCTCAGGCCTACAAATAGAAATATTACTTACATACTTAGTGTGTTTCTATTTGGGAAATATTTGCAACCCAATCTATTGAACGCGAATTAACTAATTTCGATTTTCAGAGAATAATTTCTCAGAGAAGGAATACAATTACAGCCGTAATTTGTTCTGGGCGTTTAGACATAACAGTATAGTTACTTTCTGTAAAGTTTCAATGATAAGCAACTTACCTCTTGAAAATTACATCCTCTTAAAAATTGGAATTTTCAATTTTCCCCCCAATTTTGAACTAATATCTATGTTGGGGGATCAGATAAAAATCTGAAGATTGCACAGGTACTAGATGGCTATGATATCAAATTTCGGTAAAAACTTTTAGATTAAGATATTAGAATTAATTTTATTATATTCCTCCTCCTTTAAACACACACGTAATTCCTTTAAAATATTCTTTACAGAAATTGTATATGTCCTGGGTGACAGGATTTGATTGTTTTGAGGCCGCTGTACACTGGCCTTCGTTACGCATAGCTTTGTACTACCGCCTTCGCCATGGCAGGCATTTTTGCCTGACATGAAGCAAAAAAGTGCCATTCAATATCAAAACCGAAATCTGCCTTATTAATACATATTGATAAAATTCTTTCTGTACTTTTTGTACTGGCTTGTAGCCCTATCAAAGATATGAATAAGCTATTTTTACAATAGGTCGATGTTCTTTAATGGAATTGTTAAGTTGAATTTGGTATGTATAAACCGTTGTGGTATTACGTACCAAGTGATCGTTTATGAAACAGAAGCTGTGGTCCTTTATTTACACTTCATCTTTATAATAAAATACAAATGGATGAAGTGTTTTGTGCCTGTTAACCCAGTGGTACCTTTGGGTTTCATATTGTACCACAAAAAGAATAATTTTCTGAAAAATCAGCCAGTACAATTCATTCATCTGTTAACTTCAGATTTTTCTCTTTCAAAAATTGACGTTGCGATTTTGCAATAAAATGATGAACCTTTAAATTTTCAAGTTTATGGAACAGTAATTTAAAAAAACTCTTCTCTTGGTTTTACAATTATTTCGGTTCTATCTTGGATTACCCCTTGAGTACGTGCTATGTTGCCTGGCATTGAGTACTCTTCACATTCTTCAAACAAATCAACCAATGCTTTTTTCCTTGGACAACTTTTTGACTTCTCACCATACAATCAAAACTATAAGTTTTGCATACCAGAATTTCCAAGAGGTTCTTGTAACTGTCTTTGAGCTTGGCTCCATCAATCATTAACTATATTCTGGTGACATAAACAGACAGACATTATGAGTTCCAGAACTCCTCGCGATCACACACCTCCTCGGTCTTAACTCCCAAAATTTTGATCTTCATATTTTAATGTGAGGATTGGTCTTCTTAAACACCCAAAATAATTCGATTAAATTACAAAGAATTGACCGTTTTAGTCTCGAATCTTGATACCATTTTCCTTTCGGAATCGGACGACTATTTTCGTCATTTTCATAAGAACTGGTAACTTTTTTAATGTTTCTTCATTTAGCAAATTTGAACCTTTTCCCTTTTTGTAAGTCAGGTAAAAATCCCTCGTCTTTTACTAGGTCTCTTGCTAATTTTACCACATGTTTCTACACTTTAAATACATTGCTTACTTCCGCTCGACTACAAGAACTAGAAAGCAAACTGATAATTTTTATTTTGTTTTCTTTGTTACAGACAACACATTATTTTTTTTTTTTAATTTTTTCATCAGATCATAGTCTGCTTGTAAATTTTGAGTATTATCTGGATTTGATGTCGGAATTTGTTTTTCAAATGAAAGTTCCACTTTTTTTAATACTTGTGGAAAATTTGTCAATTTTTCTTTTCAAAGCTAGAGATCTTCTTTCTTGTAATTTTCTGATTTTACAAGAAGGCGATAATTCTAAAATGGCACATGCTGAATCTAAGTTTTTCATTGTTTCTGAGAAGTCACTGAATTCTTTATCTGAACTTCCATCATCTCTATTGTGGACAATAAAAATTTTCGAATAACATGTTGAACAATAATTTTCCAGGTATAAGATTGACGGAAACCTTTTAATATGTGTGATAATGTGTCAAAGTTATTTCTATCAATCTTTTTGATAAAATATTTTATGAATTTTGCAAGGGTCTACCAAGACTGGCCATAGAGATGATAAAATTTGTTAGAGCATTTTATCTCATGGTGTTTCAAACAGATGTGTTGTAGAGTTTATCCTTAACGAAAACAACCCTTTTTTCTTCCTTACCGAAATCTTTAATTAACTCAATGTCTTTTGGGAAAACTCATACACGGTCACACAACTATATAAACAGTTTTAAAAACACAGAACCTGCGACACGTTTTGATGGAAAGGGAAGGAAACAATTAAGCCACAAACTCATACACGCTTCAGACGCCTGAGCGATCTCGAAAGCGTGTTAATTCTCAGCTCATTGCGTTGGTTCCGTCTGTTGCACGAACCTCAGTATTCTCAGAAGAAATAAGAGGTGCAGGGTCAAGTTTCGAAGGCACCTTCTTGCCCAAAATCCTCTGATTCTCTTTTATTGTTTCTTAACTCAATTGTGATTTTTGCATGAATGAAGTACTGAGTGACCATCCATATCTCTGATGAAACATTCAGAAATAATAAGCAAAATGGCGCGTTTAAACGCTGAATTTATATATTTATAATACCTTATAAACTATTTTTATATTTGTCGGTTTAGCTTCTATCACGAATATGACCTTAGTTTCAATTACTAATAATTATGATTTAAAGTAAAAAAATGATATTAAAAATTAGGCAACATATTTATTAATAATAAAGTGTGGCAACGTTATGTTTATTAATAATACAGTAATTAAATATTTTCCACCAATGTAGATTTTAGTTTAAAGTAGCTTCAAAATAATGTGATTACTACCTGTCACTAGTTATCCCCAATGTAGAAATGAAATCTTATTTAGCGTAAGTTTACAATTTAAAACAAATACTTTGAGACAAATTTAAAAGTGGAAATATTACTGAAGTTTAAAATCATAGCCATCTAGTACCTGTACAATTTTCAGATTTTTATCTGGTCCCCCAACAGAGATTAGTTCAAAATAAGGAAAAATTGAAAATTCTAATTTTTAAGAGGATGTAATTTTCAAGTGGTAAGTTGCTTACCATTGATACTTTACAGAAAGTAACTACACTGTTAAATGTAAATGCACAGTAAAAATTACGGCTGTGATTGTATTCCGTCTCTTAGAAATTATTCCCTGAAAATCGAAATTAGTTAATTCGCGTTCAATAGATTGGGTTGCAAATATTTCCCAAATAGAAGCACATAAGGTATGTAAATAATATTTCTATTTGTAGGCCTGAGTATACTGAATCCAATGTCGTTTATTCCAAAATGAAAGAGCCACCCAGCGCTGAGTATTTTAGTGAAGAGTAAAGGTCAAAAAACGCGAAAAAATGGCGCACGGCGGAATACAAAAATGGCCGCCTTTTGTAAACCAAATTTTATTTTAAAAAAAATTTTTTACACCCGAAACATATGTATATTGAATTATTTCTTTCGAGATGGTCGAGCAATCAGTGCTGGATCACTTAACATTGATTGAATCCTTGATACCGAAAACTTTTGACGGCAAAATATCAATTGGCCTGTCTACAATCAACGCTAGGGCCTGAAGCGTCCAAAATTGATCCAAATTTTGCTATTAAATTATCATCCGATAGAAGGACGCTTATAAAATCGTACCGGTCTCTTTTTCGTTAAAGTAGTGTATAATTTTCGAAAATTACAAAACTGCATGTCTTTCGTCGTATCCTACTACAATAGTACAATAATACTCTATCCCCATTAGCGGGGACGCAGGTCTCTCGGGGTCCTAATGAATTGCGCCCCTCTGCCGGTTAGGAACCCGCGCGCCTCGTTCGAGGCGTCTGAAGTCACGATCCTGCGGAAAACTCTGAAGAATATCGTTTGACGGGACTTTTCGGAACAGGAAAAAATGTATCGGCATCGGGCATAGACAATTTTCGAGAGAGACCGGTGGCTGTTCGCGTCCGACGGCCCTCTGGAACGAGTTGTCGGGAACTACGATACTGAAGGGCAAGCATTTTTCCTTAACGAAATCTTTTCTTCAAATACAGTAAGGTCACGCACAATTTTTCTAAAATATGAGTAGTTATCGTTTAATTCGTTTAATTTTTCCTGAAATGTGGGCAATTTGTTCTCAAAAACTGCTTAGTCAGGGCAGTAAAACAGTGCAAGCTCCATTCTCCGCGAACTCTGTATTTTTGAAAATATTGCAAAAGATATTCAGATTGTCTTAAAATCTGTTCTGAAAAATTAAGCTTTAAATGTCATGAACAATTTTTTGAGAAAACTACTAGTTTCCGGGAAATTTCTCCTTGAAGATAATACAATTTATTAAAAAATTCAAAAAAATAGCTCCAATTTTTGAAACGGTTTTCTTCAGATAGGGCAATAATCGCTTGAAAAAATGGCGCTGGTCTCATTTTCATTAAACACTGATTTTTTGAAGATTGTAAGTTAGAAACAACACCACAAAGTGTGGGCTGTTTAGAACTACTAGTTTCACAGAAGTATGGTTCTTTACTTCGTACAATTATATATAATTTACATTTTTCAGTATACGTCGTTAAGTGGAGTAAACAACTTTGTGGCTGACTTCGAATATTCCATTCCACTCCTTGGCTATTTTGAGCGACATACACACGAACGTCAACAAGACAGTTTCATCAAAAGCTTCAAGATAAAAGTTTTTTTAAACTTCAACTGCTGCCAGATCCTGGCACTCCAACGAAAATTCAGTGATTTAACATCACAGATTTGTGCTTTTGAACTGCATAAACCAATTCGGAAAGTATTCGATTCCCTTCGCCAAATAAGTCATCTTGGTAATAAATCAAGGACGAATTTAGTATCCTCTGAATCCGTCTGGCCTATCAAACGCTGTCACATTTAGACTCAATTAAGTCAGCAAAACAAAGCCCATCATTATGTTCATACTCCAACGGGATTATTCCCACCAAAACTACGCGTCCATCAGGTTCATACTGATCTCTCTTTACTATCTGTAGATGGCTTCAAATACTATTTAAAAATGATCGAATACCCGTTAGTCACGATTAATTCCCTAAAGAACCTCAGCTGCTTCTGAAATTACTCCAGCAATGACTCATTCGATATGCGGATTTGAATTCTCTTTCCTCTTTATTTTGACGGACGTGGATAACGTACGACGCGGCAGCGGAGACAGGACGGCACTCGGGGCGAAACGTTTCCCCGCGACATTTTTTCTCCGTTTAAATACTTTCATTTTATCGACGCGACGTGCACATGTTTTTAGCAGAACATAGGTCGACTTGTGACGCTTAAAATGCGGAGTTGGTACTAATATTATTTATATATTATTCATATTAAGATTTCTTTTAACTATACGTATTTTCATTCGTGAAATATTTCTTTTAAAAACCAATCGTACTCTAAAACGACAAATTACAAAACAAGTGTGACATTACCTATGACAAGAACATCCAACTTTGTAAACAATGTCATTGTTACACATTCACATTTCACATTTTTACATCAAAGAAAAGAAACGGCTTGCTCCAGAATAGTTTGTTGACCTTTCATCATTACAGCGCAATTCAGATCACATTTCCTCAGACAGCAATAAATGGAACATACACAAAGACAAGGCAAAATACGATGAAATATGAAAAATAAAAATCCCCATAATTCTGATGAATTCACATATCAATACTCTCCGAAAAAGACAAGCTAAGGGGAGCACAAAACGAGTGAAAGAGAGGGAGGGAGGGAGGGAGGGAGAGAGGGAGGTAGGGAGAGGAGGGGAGGGGAGAGGAGGGGAAGGAGGGACGGGACTAGACAGAAGCAAGAGAAAGAAGAGCGGGATAAGCGGAGAAGAGGTAAGAGCAAAAAGAGAAGAGATGAGCAGATAGGAGAGAGAGAAGAGAAATGTTTAAGAGAAAGAGGGGGAGAGGGAGAGAGAGAGAGAGAGAGAGAGAGAGAAAGTGATGGAGAAGAACGAGAGAGAGGAGAAGAGAGATGGAGAAGAGCGAGAGGAGAGGAGAGAGATGGAGAAGAGCGAGAGAGAGATATGGAGAGAGAGAGAGAGAGAGAGAGGGGGGGATGGGGAGAGGGCAGAGAGCGAGCGAGAGGCGTGCGAGCTTCATCATCTTTCTAAATCTGTCGCTGGCTGCTGACTGGGCGAACGCCGCGCCGCGCCGCGCCGCGCGCCCCAGATCAATACTTCCGCCGCGCTCTCAGCCATCTGCCTGCGCCTCGCGCTCCACTCGGGATTCTGCCACAGCCCCGCCGCGCACCGGCACCCCCCCTCCCCCCCCGCGTCATTCGGGACTTTTCTCACCCCACCTCTCATTTCTAACAGTCTCAACTTTTCCTTTTGTACGAGGAACATGCTACTTCTTCATATCAATTTTACCTTAAATAATTTTTAAGATATCAGGTAACAAGAAAATTGCACGAAGACGTCCATTCCTTCCTTTCAGTCTTTATTTGGAGCTTTTCTGTTAAATCGAAAAAAACAAAAAACGAAACATTATTGCTCATCCACTTTGTCGAAAGATTGAAAATTGTCCTAAGACTTTGTAGTGGGGAAAATATAAGCATTTACTGCAACATTAATGGATCTCCCGCTTTAACTTTTGCAGGGATTTTTTATCACTTGAAATTCAACTAACTGCAAAAGAGGCTGTGAACGTTCAATGAGTTCAATGATGTGTAGGCTTTGTGATAGGGGTATTACTCATTTTACAAAAAAATACCCTATGAGAAGTTTTGATTCTAAGTTCACGATGAAATAATGTGAAGCCGTGCATTTCTTAAAATAAATCTAAGTGTCATTCCAACAAATGACAAAGAGGGAGTAATCCTGGACATCAATACTTGGTAGTCTCTTTCTACAAAAAGAGGAACATTCCAATTTAATCAATAAATTTAAAAGTAAAAGTACATTGCATTCTGTATTTCAAAACTTCACTACTGCGAGTTTTTGGATAAACAAGCAACAGTTCTTATTAGAACAAATGCGGGATACTTCAATGCTACAAATTTGTTCGGAAGACACTCAGATGCCGCTCT